CGCGAAGCGAGCGTAAACTATATGTATTATTTTATTTTCTTGTGCCTCGGTTTTGGCCGTGTTGTCGCCGCGTGCGTCCTTAGCGACGATCTCTGTAAAACAAAAGAAAAGAAACACCGAAACGATGTATTATTTATTTCACTCGTAATCGGGAGGAAATAATTCTTATAATGTGTGGACTGTATGTAGCCGAGAGGAATTCTCCGGCTTTTTATTCTCTAGTCTCAATTGGAATTAACTGAGACGAGGACGACAGTAACTTTTGGTTTATCACTGTATCGGTGCACCGATCAGCTGTAACCAGACACTGTCTGCACTGCACGTACAGTGTATACGGGAGCTCGGGTTGTAAGGCCGAAACTCCGACTGATCTGCAATAATAAATGATCAGCCTGGGATGCAGACGACACCACTATCGATGTCCCTAAGCCAGGGGTCCTCAATCGCCTGTTTGCTCGCGGTGCGCTGCAGGTCACTGGTTGATGTACTATCAACCTACTGCAGGTCCTCTACGAAGGCGGGGTTCCTCGACCAGCCCGGTCCGTCAACTTCGGACGATTACGACCTGCGGAACGTCTAGAACTTAAGCACGTCAACTATGGACGTGCCGCTTTCTCGAAGCTGTGAAACAGCGATAAGGAACCGAATGCGAAAGAGAATCTTTCGTTCGGAATTCAAAGAAGGAAAAGGAATTTGTGCTTGACTCTGGCTCTGATGAGGAATCTCTTAATCAGAAAGCTATCAGAGAATAAATGCATACATAAATTCCGTTGCTGAGCGAGTTATCGATTAATAGACGGAAATTCGTCTTCTACGATTTGTACTCTGAGACAGTCAACTACCGACAAGACCGATGTTCGTTATTTAAACGTCAGTGACTTATAATCCAATAGCGGCAGTGGAATTGTTCCGCGAACGGTATTCCGATCGGAACTAACAATTAAAATAAAAACGTGTATGCAAATTTTCAATTGCAAAGTACAATGTGACAGTGGATTTGTAAAATGAAAAGTGGCACTGAATTTGGAAAGTGTAAAAGTGAGAATTTTTGTTTTGTGAAAATTTGTCAGTGGGAAAGTGACAATGATCGTGATGATAAGGAAAAAACCATCGGGTGCAGGTCACTGACTTACTCCAAGCATCAGCTGCTGTGAGCCATGTGTCCTATCTTCGAGTGCCGAAGGTTGACCCATTGACCCATTGACGTTCTTCTACGAGCAGATGCATTGACCAACGAAGAATTAAGTTCAACTCTGATTCTTTTCACATTTTTCATAATTTTACCTATCCTGTAGTTTGTAAAGTTGTTTGTTATTTCATTGAGCATGTTACATTTGTTCAGTGAACGTAAGTAACGGCTAATCCCTTTCTTTCTTCTGATATTTAACCAATTTGTTAGTTCGTTTTTGCATGCAACATTTCTTTAATCCTATGCTCTCGTCACGAGTTCGACATACGGGCGCGGCAATGTACGAGGCAGTTGCCGCACTCCTTCCCGCCTTGTATACTCGCGCTCTGATTGGGCGGGGATTTTTGTTAATAACTCAATAACCACGCCGCACTTTTTCGCAAAAGAAAAAGTTGTTTAAAATCACCTCACCTCCTCCTCATTTTCGGGCGTAGTAGTAATTTTGGGACACCCTGTATATATAGTATATATGTATGGAGATGTTATATATTAATCAATTTTTTTATTTTACCTATTTGACTCAAGTTATGAATACGATTTTGTGATATAAAAAAATGTAATATAAGTTTTGAGAATCTATTTCATTCTTCTTGGGTCTAGTTAGAGTGTGCAATATGTCTGAGCTCAGAACTTGCATGTCTGAGGAGCATTCAGATTTTCCATCTGGAATGTACAATATTCAGTTGCCTGGAACCATCTGTAATCAATTCTTGGCCAATGTTTCCTCGCACGTGCTTGCCCACACGCACTCACATACGATGCAGTTATGAATTTCATCGAAGTACTGGCGAGAAAATAATCACTGTGCTCGTTCTTCGTTTATTTTTGGTGCCTTATCCTGGCTTAAGGGCATAGCGTTTTAGTAGAAAGCGATAAATTACAAATCTTTTGTACATTATTCATAATTAATGCAAACTTCGTGGTACCTTGAAGAGACAGGTTTAATTAATTGTAGACTGCAAAGGTCTGTATAAATGAATATTTTTGTAATTGCTAAAATAAGAATTTAATGCTGGTCATTATATAGACGTAAACAATCGTTGTTTAAGCATTTTATTTCATTGTTACATTTATGTGTACTTAGAAAGTAGAAATACTTATTTATGTATACTAAGAAAGTAATTTCGGTTTTCATAACGCAGTGTCTTTCTGAAAATTGAAATTGTTTTTTACATATATTTTTGAAAACTGAAATTAGTTTCTTGCCAGCTCAATCTCAATCAATATACTACTTAAGTATAGCGAACATTAAGTGTGCGCTAATCA